GACGTTTCTTCATAGTCACCGCAGTGAAAACCTCGAATCTTACAGACAGAGAGAAATATTTGAAACCGGCATATATGGTTGTATAGGATGCGTTGCCAAGTCAAAACTCGATCCTAGATACTTTTGAAACAACTTCTTAAACCATATGGCACTAGTTGAATTGTTCTTGAAGCCGAGTCCCATGGGTTTTTGAACGACATGATATATCATTGGGCAGTATTTTTTATTGCTAGTGGGGTGGGACTAAGTCCCTCGTACTGCGGCCACTTCTGGCCTATTGTACCAGCCCCAGATGATAGGTGAGGGTGATTGTGGAGCAACTGGTGGAATGAAGATTGGCAGGGGAAACCCGAAGTAGTCGGAGAAAACCTGCCCCAGCGCCACTTTGTCCACCACAAATCCCACTTGACCAGACCCCGGGATCGAACCCGGTCCGCCGCGGTGGGAAGCCAGCGACTAACCGCTTGAGCTATGGCATGGCCTTCACTGGCCAGTAACTCTCACCTGTGACAGAGCCCACCACGGTACGCCGCACACATGGCCACGTGCTTCCCCCCCCCCACACACACGGACTTAAGGTCAGCAACACAACAGTCTATAAGTACTTCTACATAACCAGCCATAGAAAACGAAAGCCATAGTTATGTTTCCTCTACTTACGCAACGAGGGCTTTAATTTATTTTAACTTAATTTAAACGATTACTTTGAACATAAATAAGTTATATTAACATTTTAGTCTTAGTTTCTAATGCTAGTAGATACCCCTTGTGGTAACTTATGTTTACTCACATATGTAAAACATGTAGAATCTTTACGTTGGTGGCTACGAATTCTGATGATGGTCAACAGCGGCCGGAACATATTCTTATATTAAACTTCTTACATTAGATGGACCTTACAACTCATTCAGCCGGTCACAGTGGCCGCTCGGTCTAAGGCAGGAACTGTTTTCGCCCGCCCTAACACTGGGATCGTGGGTTCGAATCCCACTAAAGGCATGGATGTCTGTGTTAGGTAGCGGCCTTGCGACGAGCTGACCCCCCCGTCCAAGGAGTCCTATCGACTGTCCTATATTAAGAAACTGAAGTTAAATGAAGTTTTACACGGATGTCCTAGACTGAAAGTGGAAGCGAGGAGAAGAAGAAGAAGAAGAAGACAACTCATTTATGTAGTAATAATTGTAACGGCGCAAGATGCCTTTTATCTGTGAAGGCGGCCTATTTCTCTGGCCATTAGAGCGCATCGTGTTTGTTCACGTATGATGCTAGTTGAAGCCTCGTATTAAAATAAACAGAAGATTTTTCTGTATACAACCTCCAGTGTGTATATTGACGGAACATAATTTTAGACACGCAGGAAAAAAATAACATACCTTAATTATCCAAGTCAGCCGGTCACGGTAGCCGAGCGGTCTAAGGCATGTACTGTCTTCGCTCGCTTGGAAACCGGGATCGTGGGTTCGAATCCCACTCAGGGCATGGATGTTTAGTTTGTGTGTGCATTTTTCTGTGTTTGTGTACAGGTAGAGGCCTTGCGACGAGCTGATCACTCGCCCAAGGAGTCCTACCGAGTGTGTAAGATCTAGAAAAACTGAAGTGAACGGAGAAGTTCATGGAGGTAGGCCTAGGCCCACTGGGGCTGTAGCGCCAAGGAAAAAAATATCCAACTCCAAATTGGCACTATTTTATTTTCATCTTGTTCATTTCGACTCGTTTGGCTGTTAAATGGATCAAGCACCTATACAGGCATAATTTATATTCCTGTAAACTGCAGCATGTCATGAGGGCTTGCAGATAGCAGCTGGCACGTAATGAAGACATATTAACTGATTACTAGATTATAATGACACTGTTTCATGATGAACCCCTGAGGAGTTTTGAGAGTGGCTACTGTCTATGAACCATCTTCAGCGTGCCAGTATACTAATGTATTTTTATTACTTCCTTATTTGTTATTTTAATTGCTGCAGATTTATCAAAGCCGCATTTTACGAATATTTGTGGCAGTACTCTAGTCGATACACTCGGTTCGATGTCTCCCTTATCCCCCGTGACAACAGAATGAGTTACGAATTCTACCTTCTGGGATACAACGCCGTGCAGTACGGCGAACGTCAGCTGGTAGAATATGTGTCCTCGAAGCCGGTCACGGTAGCCGAGCGGTCTAAGGCATGTACTGTCTTCTCTTGGAAACCGGGATCGTGGGTTCGAATCCCACTCAGGGCATGGATGTTTAGTTTGTGTGTGTGCGTTTTTCTGTGTTTGTGTACAGGTAGAGGCCTTGCGACGAGCTGATCACTCGCCCAAGGAGTCCTACCGAATGTGTAAGATCTAGAAAAACCGAAGTGAACGGAGAAGGCCCACTGGGGCTGTAGCGCCAAGGAAAAGAAAAAAAATGTCCCTCGATGTCAGGGTGTAAGAATAAGCAAAGCAAGAAACCAGCATGAATAACTCTGCATGCTGCATGTTTCATGCTGGATTGGTCTACTCTTCGATCCTGAAATTGAGGCGATGTATTCCTCCGAAACATCGGTTGACTTTCACGTGTCTGCACAGGGCTGTAAATCCGAATATATACCTAGAACTCTTCGCAGCTGGCGCACGCGGTAGCGTAGTTGGTTGAGGCACTGTGTTACAAACCGGAAGATCGCGGGTTCAAGTCCCAATGAGGTGGATTTTATTTTAAATTTACTTAATTCATCCATCTGCACCCTGGCCCTGGGGTTAATTCAGCCTCTAACTGAAATGAATACCAGGAATATTCCTTGGGGGTAAATAGCCGTCGGCGCTTACGGCTGACCTCGACGCCATCTGTGAGCCGATTGTCTAGACAAAATGTGGGAGCCTCGACGTCTCACAACCCTATGGGCCTTCACGACCTGTTACAGGGATAGCTTTACCTTTACTTTTACATTTTACTCTTCACTGCTATCGCTGTGATAACCTCAAATCCAATATATCAATAGATAAATCGGCCAGTACGACAGCCAATAGCCTGAAGAGATTGTGTAGGCCCGTTGCTAAACCTACCTCAGACAGTGACGGTGTTGAACTCAATATTAACGTAATGCTGCTTGAAGCAAAGAAGTTTTCCCACTGTATGGTATTACATAACTAGGAAGAGGTTTCGTATTTTGAACATGTAGGAATTTGGAAGGAGGTTCTCGTGGCCTGTTTTAATATTATTCTCAGAATTACATTCTAAGATTGTTGAAATCCTCTGTCAGGTTTTCTGATAATCTTTCCGACATTCCTATCGACTAATTTCTGATAGCAAGTAAAGCGTCGCCGCTACAGTAACCCGTCTCGGTAGCACGTGCCCTCGTTCTGAGCTATTACTGAACTCGTTTACCTCCGGGGTAACTGCGGAGATCGTTATGTCAATACGTGCTTTATTATGAATTTCTCATACATGTTGATAGGATATGTTCCCCCGTTTCCTCATCTATCTGCCCTCCTGAACGCTTCAAGTCGAGAGCTCCTGGACGGGTTTTGATGAAACTTGATAATAGACATCATTACGGGAGGTTAGATGGTCTCTTCAGCTTTAACAAAAATCAACACAGTAGAAAAATCGATTTTTCATAAGGGAGTTTATGTATGTAATCATAACGTTACTTGCAGTCGAAGAGCTGCAAAGAAGGCACGTGGGAAACTGTGTATTTTGGTGCGGCTTTTATTTTTTAGGTCCTGTTCTCTCTGAAGTTTTAATGTTTACAGGATATGGATAGCCAAATAATTTTTTCGCCTTAATATTTTATCTGTTATATTTATTTATTCACCTCGTTGGTGTCTAAATAAATATAACAGATAAAATANTCCCTTGCTGGACAGGTCAAAGGGTAGGCATCAGACGAAGAGAGACACCAAAAACTGATGCCGGAAGCAGCGTCATCAGCAGCGACTTGAAGCACAGAGCAAATGATGCTCGAGATGGTTCAAGTTCGTATAGCAACAGGCGTGACCAGAGTGGTTTGAACGGCAGTTGTACTGCGATGTGGAAAGCAAATGGAAAAACTACCACATTATCACTTTTCCTGGATAGTCTCTTTCCAAAAACAGAAGATCGCATTAAGTGGAGGAACTGTTTTGGAAGAGACTGTGGACCTGTCGTCTGACAGATTACTGATGAATGAATGAATGAATATTTATTTATTATTTTTCATAAGAAATTAAGGTTTTCTGCTGACCGTCGACACAGCATCTGCTTAATAAATTTAACGTTAATAAAGTATGAATGGTTGGTTTTATTATCTACAGTCCACCGCATGTTTCAATCAACAGATCATCATCAGATGATAATTCAAGAATTATGTGCACACACAGTCATTGAAATGACAAATTAACTGTCCATCTATTTTACTTATTTGATTTTAACATCCAGGATATAAAGACCCCGATATTTGTTCACTACAAATTCGAAATCCATTATCAATATTTTATTAATGACAATGTCTGTAATGAATGGATCCATTTTAACTTGACAGATTTAATGATGATATATGTTTCATATATTCGTGAGTTATCACCTGATGGTGATCTGTTATACTCGAAACACGTAATGGATTGTACATATCAAGAAGTTCTGGGAATAATTATTCGCCTACTTTCCTTTAATACGACACGGACCGCATAGAAGACGATGTGTTCAATAATTATTCTATTGTTACTTATGTATTCGTTGCTGAAGTAACGTTTTTATTGAGCCGTTGCCTAGCAACGATAGAAGATTACACATGCAGGGCTCAGGTGACGTGACACATATGTGCATACCAAGTTTTATCAAGATTGGTTCCGGTATTCAGAAGTTGTTGGGGGTTGGGAGGAACAGACAGTATGGTGAGCTCATAAGGAAAGTAGGCTAATAAAATAAAATGCTCGTATATTCACATTTTATTAATATCCGCTTAATTAATTTGTTGTTTTGCTGACTGTCACCAGAATACCGTAATATTACCTGTTGTTTTGCCTAGCATCATGTCGACATGCGTCTGTTTCAGCACCACCCAGTACGGCACCGCCATGACAGACACAAGCGCCAACACGCTCATGCCGCGTCACAGACCTACCTACCCGGAAGTTTTGTGGTAGACGGTGGCGCCGCGACGCCTGAGTCCGGCAACTGGGGACCATGGTCCGAGCCCAGTGACTGCTCGCGCTCTTGCGGCGGTGGTGTTGCCTTCCAGACGCGCCGATGTCGAGACGTCAGGTAGGCGTAACACATTAACAGTACACATTAAAGTACGGTCGAGTTACACAGACGAAAAATTGTGAGATGAATGAGGTAGGCAGGGCATGTAGCACGTATAGGGAAGAAGAGGAATGCATAGAGGGTTTTGGTGAGAAAACCAGAGGGAAGATACCACTACGGACACAGACACGTAGATGGGAGGATAATATTAAAACAGATATCAGAGACAAATAGTGCACTGCTGTGGACTGGATTAATCTGGCTGAGGATAGGTATCAATGGAGGAATCTCGTGAACACTGTACTAGACCTTCGGATTCAATAAAATTTGGAAATTCTTGAGTGGCTGAACGACTAGCGGCTTCTGAAGAGGATTCGACTCCATGGAGTTAAGTGATAGAGCTCCAATTTTTATGCTAACATTCTGAATGTATATGTGGGAGGAATTCCACCTTAAAATAAATGTGAAATGAGTATGTGGGCTGGATTCAGTCGGCTAGGGATCAGTGGCAGGCTCATGTAAACCAGGTAATGAAACTGTGGCTTCAGCAAAAGACGGGAAATTTCGTAACTAGCTGGATAACGGCTCCGTTCCATGGAGTTCTATACGAGTGTGAGCCAGTAAATAGGTCACAAATTGTAGTAACACAGCTGTAATGGACGTAATAGGTTTTCTATGAGTATCACTAGGTAGCAGCACAGTTCAACTTCATGAGAGTCTAAGTAGCAAACGCGCATGCGTATTTTCAGAGGCTGGTTGCAGTAGTCAAAATGCCGACCGTTCTTGAGGAGTGTATTACTGAAGAGCAGAGTTCTGTTGTGCTTTTTTTTTTGTGGGCGGAAGGACTCAATGCAAAGGTTATTCATAAAGAAGTGTTTCCTGTTTGTCACGTAACGCGGTTCACACTTGGGTGTCAAACGCGTCTCTGATAACGAAGAGGTTGAAATGGAGGTGCGGAAGTGGCTGAGGCAACAGTCAGTAGATTTCTATGCTGCCGGTTTCGACGCGCTAGTAAAGCGATGGGGCAAGTGTATCAGTGTTGGTGGAGGATATGCAGAGAATTTTTTCCCCCATGTTCGAATATTACATGTTTTACGTCTTAGATCCATTTTTGACATATTTACTGATTTTCCCTTGTACAGGCGAATGAGAGAGGTGCTTCTTACTCGATTAGTCCAATCAGTGTTTTAAAAGAGCAGAGATTTAGCGAAATGACTTGTGTTCCGATCCTGAGAAGAACTGAAACCGCGGTTGATATGAATAGGTACTCATATGTCTCTACATGTCCATCTATGGCTGTACAGCCATTTGGGCCTTGGCCGCTTTTTCGTTCTCTTAATCTATACACAGTCTTTGAGACTCCTTGGACAGGGGATCAGCCCGTCGCAAGGCCGCTACCTACGCACAGAACAACATGAACTCAGAATAAACGCACATAGACATACATGTCTTGAGTGGGATTCGAACTCACGATCCCAGTGTTTGAGCGAGCGAAGACAGTTCATGCCTTAGACCGCACGGCCAATGTGATCAGCCAGCTGTGTCTGTGTTCTCCTGAAAATTTTCTGGACGAACCGAATCCTCGGAAACCCACAACTTTCAGAGAGCCGTTATAAAAGACCCCCCGAAAATTTACTAGCTTTGAGGTTCTCACAGCGGCAATTATGAAAATTTTTGGCTTCTGGTATATAAGGTCTTTGAGTCCGGTGAAAGGTATCCGATGTTTCGGAGAACTTGTTGCTGCCGACTAAAAATGATAGGTTCAATTCTTCTATACAGTCGTTTGCCAGTATCTTGCGTATTATGTTATACTTGACGATCCAGCCAAGAAACATGGTTTCTCACTTAGAGAAGATGAAGTTTAACTGCTGCATCCGTCCGTATGGAAATTACAGCTTTCTTCTGATTGATAAGCCTTGCAAATTCTGGAAATTTTAAATATTGTGGCGAGTTATCTTACGTTACTTACTGTTATTGTTGATTATATAAATATTTGATACGGTATTTTTCGTTCAGTCCAGAACCTTTTATCGTCTCGTCTGCTGTCCAAAAACATAAAAATTAGAATATACAAAACTATAATTTTTCCTCTGGTTCTGTATGGGTGTGAAACTTGGTCTCTGACATCAAAGGAGGAACATAGACTGAGGGTATTTGAGAAGAGGGTGTTGAGGAGAATATTTGGACCGAAGAGGGATGACGTGACGGGAGGTTGGTGAAGACTGCATAATGAGGAGCTTCACAACTTGTACTCTTCTCCAAGTATAATTAGAATGATCAAATCAAGGAGGATGAGGTGGGCAGGGCATGTAGCACTAATGAGGGAGAAGAGGAATGCATATAGGATATTGGTGGGAAAGCCAGAAGGAAGGAGACGATTGAAAAGACCAAGGCGTAGGTGGGTGGACAATATTAAAATGGATCTCAGAAATATAGGATGGGATGGTATGGATTGGATTGATCTGGCTCAGGATAAAGACCAGTGGAGGGCTCTTTTGAATACGGTAATGAACTTTCGGGTTCCATAAAATGCTGGGAAATTCTATTCTATGGTATTTTTTCGTAAAGAAATACGTAATGAGTTATACGAGTAACTAATTACATATGCTAGTTAATAAAACAAAAACATGAATGAATTAGTAGCTGTAATGTAGGACCTGTCCATTAACAGACTGTTTTTCTGTTTGCAGTGATACTGGAGAGGAACTGTGTCAAGGCGGTAGCAAGAGGTATTTCTCCTGTAACATTCAGGTTGGTGATGGACTCTTGGTTAAAAATCCTCGACGTTCCGGGCCCCCTTTTAGTGTCAAAGCTGTTAAAGTAAATCTGTTCCTCATAAGAATATCATTAAGAACTTTGTCGAGCGTTTTCTTTGTTACCCACACATTGTTTTCGGGTTTGGATAAGTTCTTATGTCGCAATTTCCTTATAGAATTCTGATTCAGAAGTCGGATAATCTTTGTTCGATGATCGTTTTGATTCAGACGTAACTTTCATCTCTTGACACTCTTTGCATGAACATTATAATATATATATAAAAAGTAAACAGGTAAAGCTATCTCTGTAACAGGCCGTGGAGGCTCATAGAATTGTGAGAAGTTGAGGTTCCCACATTTTCTCTAGACAATATGTTTACAGATGGCGGTAAAGTTGTCAACCTTACGCGCCTACCGTCCCTTACCCACCAGGAAGATTCCTGGTCCTCATTTCTGTTAGAGCCTGAGTCGACCCCAGGCCCATAGTGCCGCTGGAAGAATTAGGTACATTGAAAACATCTACATCATCGGAAGTCGAACCCAAGACCTCCCTTTTAGTATAGTGCGTCAACCAGCTACGTTATCGCGTGCCCCGAACTTGGTAATACTGCGATTAAGTTTTTCATATAAAGGATCAGTGTAAGGATACTATGTATACATTCTCATATAAGATTGATCTGGACTGCTGGAAACGAAATCAGTTTTTCTCGATAGACCACAGTTGGTTGCTGAGTTCTGAATAAAAAATATCTGGCCGACTGGTAAAGCCATTTCATACAAAATTTACATTTCGCATTTTGGCCCCTAATGTGCGTGCCGTTATTTCCCTGCGACATGCAGTCTTCTGTAAGAAGATGGTCTCCAAGAATTACCGAAATTTAATTTAAATTATTAGAGACATTTTCAATAAAAATTCTTAGTTTGTTTTTGGGGACGTATTTAAAGGACTGCTGTATTTGGAACTAAAGTGTTCATATTCACTCGATAGCAGCCTATGATGGATACACTCTTAAATTCCGAGTGTGAACAGATTCTAACCAACCGTTCAGGAAGCAGCGTTCATGCGCACATCCATACATACCGTGTTTGCCCGATTATGAAGAGAATTTTTTTTGTACTGCTTCTTAGAAGAAAAAAGACGTCGCAATTTTTTTCGGGCCCTTAAGCATGATAAATGTAAAAACTAATGTAAAGCTTCCTCTTACAATTGGACGCTACTGAACATGGCGTAGGACTTTGTGATTGCTCGTTAATGAAGGGAGCAGATATGTACTGTGTGATAATTTGGTGTTTAATTTACCGTTAGCATTCCTTGATATATAAGCTTTCCAAGCATTAAACTGTCTGAAATCATGGCGCTATTTAAATTGGAATAAACGCTTGTACACTAATGAAACATATTTTCACATTATTATTGTGAAGGAAACTTGTACTCTTTTCCAAGTATAATTAGAATGATCAAGTCAGGGAGGATAAGGTGGGTAGTGCATGTAGCACGAATGTGGAGAAGAAGAAGAATGCGTATATGGTATTTGTGGGAAAGCCAGAAGGAAAGAGACCACTGGGAAGAACAAGGTGTAGTTGGGAGGACAATATTAAAATGAATCTTAGAGAGATAGGATGGGATGGTATGGATTGGATTGATCTGGCTCGGGATAGGGAGCAGTGGAGGGCTCTTGTGAACACGGTAATGAACCTTCGGGTTCCATAAAATGCTGGGAAATTCTTGAGTAGCTGCACAATTGGCAGCTCCTCAAGAAGGGCTCAGCTCCATGAGTAAGTAAGTAATTATTTGCAAGGATTATAAGATAAACATCAAGAAACATGAGCAAAGACGCGCTGTATTGGCTGAAAATTCAGTAGACATAACTGTGACATGATGAAAATTATTCGTCTCAAGAATTAATTTACATATGTATTTTTATGTCACGATAACCTCGTTGAGTGCTGTAATTTTTTCTGTATTTACAGCCACTGTTCAAAATATAGGCGTTTTAAGTTGTTCTGTGAAGCTGGAATACGATGAATAGGCTCATGTGACCATCGAAGCTGAAGCACTTCTAAACCCACACGCACATTTAAATGGTAAACAGGTTCAGACTGAAAAAAAACATGCTTATACATACGTTGCATGCCATCTCTAGATTCGGCTGGAGGTGGCCGAGATAAAGGCGTGAAAAACACTAGAGAATGCAGGATTCCAGCTGAGTTTCGAACTCGGTACCTCCGGGACTCTGATCAGAAGCGTTACCTCTGTGGTCACAGAGGTCAAGCGACAGCTACATCGCACGAAACGAGCTGCCCACGGCTCCGGTCAGCAACACGCAGGCACTCATGTTGTTAGTACCCATCTCCCATTGGTGATTTACGGTGAACGTCTGGACCTCAAAACTGTCATAGTTTTAATTTCGGTGATGAAAATTAAAGACGCAGAGGTCGAAAGCTACTGCAATAAAAACGTATGGAATGCTTACTGCTGTTGCATTTCTGAGACACAACACATAATGTCTGCTTGAAGATATGGGCGACTCACCCGGGGATGTTAAACTTGAACTTGTTTATATTGCTGGAATAAATTTGTATATCTGTTCCCATTGTTTTTAGTAAATTTGCTTATTTTCTTTTTTTAGTATGTAGCTACATTTTCAGTACCGAAAATGTACAGTTTTGGATTGTAGAATGATTGATGAATAATGAATTGGAAAGTATCTGCTAAAAAGCGATTATGGGCTGTCAGCGCTGTACCTGGAGGGACGGAGAAAAGCCACGAAATCTCAGTCAAAATATCCTGTGTCGAGGTCGAGATTTGAACCTAGCACCTCCGAAATACAAGTCTAGAGCGTTACCTCTGTTATTATTATTATTGTTACGACATATGTGTGACTGTAGACGGGGTTTCGATGAGTGAATGGATTTATTGACCACATATACTCACGACTCGGAATTACAAGCACTTACAGCGCCAACGTTAATCTCCACAATTCACAAACAATCACAGCACCCTCTAAGCTTTTTCCAGCATGTTGTTTCTTCACCAGCCGTTCCCTGGCAACGGCTTCTAACAGTGAAAATTCTTCAGCTTCACGCCCACAACTCTTGGCTTCACAGCCTTCCGTGCAGAACTGTTTCTCAAAATCAAAATCACATTGCGACTGACGGTCAGTCAGTCAGTCTTGGTGTCGAGCCTAATCTGGGGCTTGTGACGAGATATTTATTACTGTTTGACAGTTACGGTCTTGTTATTGTGGAGTGCCCTCTCTGAGGAGAGGACGGGTCTGTCTTTTGTCAGCCATTGTCTGCAGTAGCAAGTCTTTTGTCATAATGTAAAGGATATTTATATTTTACATGTTAAACATGTTAATAAATGCATATAAAATACATAAAGGGCCTCTATCAGTCCAGGCTCAATACAGCAGATTATGCCCTATTTCTAGTAGCTTCCGCTACAACGGCAGTCTAGTCACTTGAAAGGGAACAACTTTGTTCCCTGCTTATAACATCTGTGCAGGGACCACGTATAAACACCGCGTTTCCACTGTTGTAGTCCAACTGCTGCATTATTAAGAATGTGCTGCCTAGCAACGGGTACGTGTTTACTGACCCGTTGCCCAGAAACGACGTTGTTTACAGAATCATCGCTTAGCAATTGGTCTATACGCCACATTATTATTATTATTGTCCAAAAGCCCAGTAATTCTGTATTATTATTGCTGTTAACTACATTGAACAGAGTCCATGAGTTGATAATGCTCGTTGAGACCCTATAGATAACCGCCCGTTTTATGGAAGTCTCATTACAGTAGTTAGAAATCACCGTTTAAGCCTACACTACATTAGAACAATAGTAAAAGGTAAAGTTGTTCCTACGCTTAATTAATTACACACTACGCCATAAAGATGAATGGGGGAGTGGAGGTACAGTCCAACCATTCTTTACCTCGGCACTAGGTGGTTGAACAGTTTCACGCCATGGCCGCTTTACCCCCAGGGAAAGAACCTAAGGCGTTTATTATATGGGAGGCTGGACGGTCTCTAGAGCCGCTCTGGATGCTCTGGATAAGAGAAAATCTCTTACCCTGCTGGGAATGTAAACCTGGCCGTCCAGCACGTCGCTATACATACTCGTACTGAGCTATCCCGGGTCCTAGGAATTAGTCAGTAAACGAGAAGTGAAATATTCTGATCAGTTTTAGCTTACACATAGCATGGCGTGATCACTGAAGTTGGTGCCCTGTGTCATGTACAAATAGCGGACATGGGAAGCTGGCCAGAGCCTGGTGCCAATCTGAATTTGGTGGTAAAGAGAAAGCGAGACCCTGGCGAGAATCGAACCTAAGTCATCCAGCCCATAGCATAGCCACTGCACTGACTGACAACTAGAATACGTCTGGAACTTCGCTTCGATTTCACGCTTTTGCATATATTTGAAAGTTTTTTTGGCAAGTCTAAGTCACCATTAAAAAGTAAAAAAGTTAACCCTGTACTTAACTAATTAAGCACTACGCCATTAAGACGTATGGAGGAATGGATGTATAGACCCACATTTTCTTGGCCTCGGCACTAGTTTGAAGTGAGTGGTCAGCTTCACGCTCCTTCCGCTTTACCCCCGGGGGAAGAGCCTCCGATACTCATTGTACAGGAGGTTTTGTGGACTCCAGAGCCGGTCTGGATGATATGGAGAAGTGAAAATTCTTGACCCTACTGGGACTCGACCTCCGACCTCTCGGTCGTCGAGCCAGTCGCTATACCGACTGCGCTATCCCGGCTTCAAACTACTAGTGTTGTTAATTGTTAATAAAGTGATCTACGGTCTATAAATTCGACTCACTTGTTTCCATTAATTTATTGCATGGATATATAGTGTTCAGTTTTGCAAGCTAGAAATCTGCATGAAATGAAGCGGTTCCCGTCTCGTACAATTTTAGTTCTGGATCGTTTTAAGCGCCACCTTTTAGTCCTACTGGAAACCAGAGATGCAAGCGCCTTTCAAGTCGG